AAGATCACATGCCAGCCTTATCATCACTCCTCTCACTGTGAACATGGCTATTAATAGTATGCTAGTTTATTAATGACAAAGCCCTGAGTAACTACAAATAAATAAACAAACGCTGTAATCATTATGCATGATTCTTGACCTCTCAGTTTGAAATCTGCTGCACTTCTACTTCAAAGGTGAGAAGGCATCTTTAGGATAACAGTCTTCCGGGTGCCTATATCTGATTGTTAGCCTTATCTCTCACACAAGCCTTTTGGCCAAATGGAAAGGCTGATGAAACACACTGGAAGTATTCTGATTGTGACAACAGCGTGTCACTTCATTTCACTGCTCCAAATTGTATTGATTTGCATACTGCTGCAACAGATAGTAAGCAAAAGAGAGCCTGTTGCTCGCAGAAATCTACCAACACAATGCTCCTCATGAGAATAAAGACTAAAACAATGTTTAAACAAGAGTTAGCCTACATTGTCTATTGCAGCTATGTGAGGCTGTTCTACAATGGTGCAGTGGTGCTAATGTCAGCATGCCAACACACTCATAATCACAATGTTAATGTGCTGATGTTTAAAGTTTACCATGTTCACCATCTTAGTTTGCTAATATCACTAAGCACAATGTGCAGCTGAGGCTGATGGGAATGTTATTAATTTGTAGATATTTGGTCATAATCCAAAGTAATGGACAAAGTCACATTTTTTTCCCCAGATATGGGGTTTGGGGATTAGAGAACCTAGGACCCTGGGAACAAAGGACCCTGGGAACATAGACAGGCTCCTGTCCTCCGTACGTCCTGTGTGAATGTGTGTGACAGATTTCATGTCAGTTTATCCAATAGTTGTTGAGATGACAAAAATATAAACCTAGTGGTGCTTCTAGGAAAGGTCAGGAGATTACCGAAGTCAGTGGGATACATCCTCTGGGCACCATGAATGTCTGTATAGTGCTCTGTCTCTGGGCCATGTTGGCTCCTCCCTTCTGTCAAGGCTACGCTGATATTTGCAGAGCCGTCCTGTCCTGCACACCAACCTTTGTTTCCAGTAAACTCAGAATCTATTTATAGACATTGTGTGAGTGAAAAAGCGAGGGAGGGTGTGTGTGGCAGTTATTGGAGAGACAGAGTTAAACTGCAGTGTTTAAAGTAAGTGTTTGTGTATCATTGGCAATCCTGATGAGCATTGATAATACGGGATTATGACTTGTGTGGCAGAGGTCACCTGGCAGTAATGTTTGTCTGGATCACAGTAAGGTAAGTGCATCATTTAACAATGGTGTGTGTCTGGGGAGAACTTTATATTGGCTTTAAAGTGCAAAACTATCAATTTCAATTAGTTATAGTTGGAGGTAATCTTCGAGTCATGATTTATCACTTCACCTTCAAATATTTTGTCCCAATCTTTGCAAGAAAGCAGGTGATCCTGTGGGGTTTTTGAAAATGTTTGTACATGTTTGGTGTGTGTCTACACGGCACTTACCAGCAATCAGTACTATACTTGTCTAACTTCTTGGCTTTTCTGGTACTCTGTGTTTGATAGTGGCAAGCATATAAAAAACAAACACAGCATCACTGTTGGTTACCACTGCAGCAAAAGAAGCAACCTGGCAGTAAACTGCTGAATGGACTACACTTACTTCTTGTCTTCTGACCACTCGAAGTGTTTTACTTTACAAGTTACCAATGCTGCCCTTCCAGGAGATTGAACAAACACTTGAACACTTGGTCTCATGTGACAATGTCAATGACAGTCACTCAGTCTTGGCCTCACATGACTGAGATCGTAATGACACCTGTCCAGCATGAAACAACAGAACTGATGTTAATGATTGGCTGGAGATGAAAGTTGAGCAGCTAAATCGGGGCGGCTGGGGATTTTTTAAATCTTGACCCTCCCCGGAGCAACAAATATTTTTCCTTGAGCCTCCCTGTGTGACTGCGGGAAAATACCCTCCCTCTGACATAAATAACCATATTTCTATTAACCATTACTTTTAACAGAGACTTAGCCTTGGCCCTCTGGCTCCCCTTCCCTAACAGCTAACTACCAGCCCAACTTACTCTGTCCTCTCCTATGGTACTTTATCTCTATGACATTCCATCAAACAGCACAGAGGGAGTGAGAGTTATCACCAAGACAAACAGCTCATTTCTTGAGCAACATGCAGATCCTCCTTACAATAAATAGACATTTGTTTTAAGCATAAAATATAGCAAGTAAGGCTGAAAGAGACGTTCCTCTGTTGACTGATTATGCCTCTATTCTCTGCCATGAAAGATCCTTTATTCAACAGAAATACATGAAAGCAAACAGGTGGGAAATGAATGATATACAGTTAACAAAGAAAAGCCCAACACAATATCCACGCAGAAATACAAAAACAGTAAAGGTGGTAGTGGTACAGACAGAAAATGAATATTAGTACTAATAATGATAATAATACTAATGACAATAATAATAGTAGCAATAATAATAATTGTGGCAGCTGGTGTTGAGCAGGAACAACAGAAGCGACAGAAGGAATGATTCTTTTTAATTGAATGGATTTCGAACATACAAGTATAAAAAAATATAACAATGTTTGGGGAGAGGAGAGGGAAGATGAAGCACAAAACTACAGGAGAGGAAAGAAGTCGAGTTAGTAACATGCATTTATGGGATAGTAAGAGATTCTGCAGAAAGATTGTTTTTTGAACAACTGCCAAACAAATATGGCACCCTTGAGTGCTCCTAGAGAAGTTCGCCCCCCCCCAATTTCAAGGACACACATTACCAAGGCGACCAGTGCAACAGTATCTCTGCAGTCTGCTGGCTGAGGGCACATTAGTCTCAGTAAGGTGTTTTGTGCAGTACTGTAGAAAATGTGACAACTAGCCTGTCAATATTTAAATATGTATTGAAGCACAATACTTTCATTAGCCAAAGTCTAAACCATGGAGTCTAGTTTAGTATCGGTAGGATAACCAACTTCATCAGTAACAAATAGTAAACAAACATCATCAAACAAACGACAAGCACAGAGACACAGCATCCAGAGCACAACAGAGTAAAAGACTTGTCAGTTATTTGAAATTGAACAAATCAAACAACCTTCTCTCTCCCGCTCCTCCCGTGCAAGAGCATGCTACTGCAACCTGCTGCTGATTGGATGGAATAATGTTGTGGAGAAGGTTCACACCACTTTCTTTGTGTTTGATTTACAGAGCCAGGGCTGTGTAGGAAAACCAGACTTTTTTCAGAGCACACACAAAACTGAGAGCTAGTGAACCGTGAGGAAATATTCTGTAAATGTAGCAAAAAGTGCATTGGATTTGGATTGGTATTGGATTACAATCGCTTACTATCTCTTCAATGGGATGAGAATGCATAGAGAGGGAGAGGAGGAGAGTGCATTATGGGAAGTCTCCCAGCCATCTAGACCTATAGCAGCATGACTAAGGGATGGTTGACTCATGGGAACACTGTTCGGGGAGTGAAAGTTGGTAGGGAACAATGTTCCTACTCAGAAAATCTATTCAATGTTTTTATAGGGGGAAATCACCTATAGCTGTTTTACACTGACATTGCAGGGTCTGGGGTCAGTCCCCAAAGCAATGTTTCTGTGTCAGCGTTGTCATTGCTACTGGCTACAGGTATACTTGAAGCTGCAGTGATGCTGATAGGTATGTGACGTGTGTCTCTGATGCATTAAAATCCCAAAGGACGGCATAAACTCTGTAGAGATGCACCTTATTTTTCTGTTATTATGCTAACGTGAACAACAAATATGTGCTGAAATCACAGAAGTCCTGTTCTCTGTGAGCTCACACACAAACACAGGCACACACACGGAGCGAAGGCCACACTGGAGAAGTGAACCAGCTGAAGTGAAGATAACTCCAAGATTACTGAGTTACTGTAAATGATTGTGGCAGGTTCAGGGCTGTCAGGGCTGTCTGTGTCTGCTGGCTGTTTATTGTATGATGGCAATATTATGCCAACAAATTTCCATAATGTTTTTTTCACTAAAAAGACTAACTATCCATATAAGATATCCACATGATTTGGATACCTCACACTGCTGAAGGCTCATATTAACTGAACTTAGAAAAGCTTTTCTGCACAGTAGATGACTGGATTTTTCTAAGAATCACTTTAGCATGTGATCTCTTCATGGCCAGTATGTACAATAACTATTTCAATGTACTATAGGCTACATATGGGCATGTGAGTATAGACCCACTCGAAAAAGTGTGAACATATCCTTTAAGAGTGACTTCATTACTCCATTTCCACTTAATATGTCAGGATGTTGAATTAGACCTGCAAACATATTAATCCCTCAGCCCACCCACCTATTTTGTTTCCTGTGTCCAAGTACAAATGCCCAATTCCTCTATCAGGGAATCCCTCCATTTGACGTTATACTAAAAGACTCACTAAATGCCATTGTCCCCATGGTAGCTGTCATACAGCGCCTTGTTCAAAATGTGTGTGACACAATAAAAGCTGGAGTTCAGTTCTTTTTGTCCAGCCAGGCAGCAGGATGTGCAGACATTTTTAGAAGCCCAGAGAGACAAAACAATATGTACGTCATTAGAGTAGAATATGGGATGGGTTGGCCCTCTCACACAAGTACTGAGCAACAATGTTGGCACACACACACACACACACACACACACACTTGCTCCATATTACTTGTGAAGTAGCTAGGTAGAATATCACTCAGAAATGCTAACAATATGAACCTAAACTGTGCCAATTTGCACACACATATCTCACCGGACATTTAGTGGGCAAAGTTATCATGAATGTTGGCTGGATTTAAGACAGGAAGACACACAGAAACAAACACTAACATGCGCACAAGCATATTGTGATACATTTCCTGTTCTGCTCTTTTTTCCACTTTACCTTGTGTGGTCCCTATATTTAGCTCCATGCAGGGAAACCAACCAACACACACAGGAAAACTAAGTTGGGAAAGAATTGAAGGAAGTCTAGTGGCCATTTAGACAAACAACTCCGACACTGGGATCAGTGCTGGCTGAATACGCTGCAGTGCTGTACGTGGCTGAGACAGACAAGGGGCTTTAGAATGATAGAGGGCTTTCTGAAGAAAGAATTCAGAAAAGTTGATCCAGCACTGACAACTGGAGAGCTATGCTGGGTTTAGTAGGGTCCTTGTGGATCCAGCTGGATTTGGGTTTTGATGTGGATTTGAATGAACTAAAGGTGGATCTGTACATGAACATGTTTAAAAAGTGGATCTATTTGGTCTGCTGGTAGATCTTGGCTGATTGAAAGTCTCAGATGAGGTAAGGTATATTTGTGGTTGCCTAAATATTTTAATGGAAACCTGCAATAACACTAAAAAACACTGTTGTCATCCAGAGTGACTACCTACTGTCAATTGCTTTGTAAAACTAGAACCTAAAATATCAATCAGCTGCAATGTGAATTTTAATGTGCCGTCCAGTATTGTGATCATTTAAGACTTGCTTATCTTTGTGCACTCCTATCTGTCAGATCTTTAGTGGATAGTAGTCTTTGTCAGGTTGTTATAGCTGTGTGTGTTTGATAGTCTTGTGGGAGTATAAACCACATGATAAAAATATATTGGCACAGGTATTCAAAATGCAATACTTATTATCTTGTTTTACCTTTTTGTGTCTGGTATTTATAAGTAAACACAAACTGTTGTGCCTTCACAGCATTTGTTTTGGGTTTGCACAGGTGACTGTGATATGGTTGCTGTGCACTGATATATTTGCATAAACTTGATGCAAGCATGACAAGATTTTGTGTTTTGTTGGCTCTACATGCATGGGAGTTTGAGGACAGGAATGTGCTTTTATCTTTTAAACATATTGTTGCAGGAATATTTCATTCTGGACAGCTGCCTTTAGCTTTCAGCAGTTTGACAAATCTGGGTTTCATCTGTTGCTAATTTTAATTTCCTAAGTAATCATCACAAAATAAGGACTAAACAAATGTTCAGTTTCTGTGTGCTTAATTTGGCTAGGTGGCAAGTTATATAGTTAGTTTTTATTAGCATTTATTATTTATCGTATGTAGGTTGGAGGATAGGGCATGGTGCGGGGGAGTGATTTCTACATACAATATATAAAGGTGGAGATCACCTCAACCAATTAGCAGCCTTGTTTCTCAAAACGTGGTGCTACCAGAATGCATTGCATATTTGCTTACATAGTTAGTGAAGGGGAAGCGTTGCAACGACAGATCCTGTGGACACCTACCATAAATGCTATCTTCTGCATCTCTTTGAGACACTCAGAGCATGACTTACCGTTGGTATTTGACAACCTGGGAAGATGCAGTATACTGTCAGCTTCCATAATGTTACTGGGGTCAGATAGTGACAAGGTATTAAGTGGTCTGATCACTTAACTGGTACGGCAGTAGAGCGTTGAGGAAGCATGTAATACTATGCATCTCTACCTATGAAATGCTCTTTAATTTAAAGTTTTTATCTAATACTGAGTGACCTGTAAACATTTTCTTGACATGGACTTCTTGTGTTTATGTAAATAATGAATTGCTGTGTTTGATATCATATCATGTTGTCATATCAGAAGTGTTGCATATATTATTATAAAGCCGCAAAATTCTAAGGAGCCAGTGAAAGAAGTAGCATGTCCTTTATGAAGCATGGCACAAAGAGAGTGTGTGGAGGTTGGGGTGGTAGATGGACAAGTAGCGTATCTGACTTTCACGAAGGAGAAAGAGAAGTTTATGTCCTGTCAAAGACCCGTAACTAACCAAAATTTTAAAATGTTGGCATTTGGGGATAAAAAGTGCCACTGAAAGTAATCTGGTGTTTTGCAGAATTGTCCAGTATTGATACTATTATCTGGCTATAGCGTTGTTTAACTCTGGCCAAGACCTTTTTCCTAACCATAGCTAAACCGTTTGAGTTCCCTAAGCTGTCATACATCACACTATACATTTTAATCAGCCTTTCTGCATGGCTTGAACCTGTGGCGTTGATCTCACTGGATCAACTGATCAGCAACAACGTGTAGCTACACTGATCTGTCCATTGACAATTCCATCCATCCATTGTCAACCGCTTATCCTGCGTGCAGGGTCATGGGGGGCTGGAGAAAATCCCAGCTGACATCCGGCGAAAGGCGGGGTACACCCTGGACAGGTCGCCAGTCCATCACAGGGCCACACAAACAAACTCTCACACTCACACCTAAGGACAATTTAGGGTCACCAATTAACCTAGCCTGCATGTCTTTGGATGGTGGGAGGAAGCCGGAGCACCCGGAGAGAAGCCACGCAGACACGGGGAGAACATGCAAACTCCACAAAGAAAGGCTGGGGAAACCGGGGTTTGAACCCATGACTTCTTGCTGCAAGAAATACAGCAGCCTTCTTAGCTTCCTCCGTCATCGTCCTTTTAGGTCTCTTTGCCTCTGCCATTAGCTAACGTTATGTTGATAGATGCTACTGCAGTAACGTTACAGATGTTCGATCTAGTAAGTTAGCAGTAAGATCAACTTGAGATTTAAACCTCTGTCTGTGAATCCTCTGGCTGATTTTGACAACTTTGCTAACACAGCCAAACATCTATGGAGAATGAATCCTGACACAATCGAAAATGAATACAGAAATTAAAAAATGTTCAATAGATAAATAAACATCCTATTAAATACAAAACATTAACACATAAATGTAGGCATTCATTAAATTATACAATGAGAAATTAATTAATATGTCTATTTTAAGTTGCTTTTTATATATTCACCTTAATAATCTTCAACTTTATTTATTAATTAGTTCTTTAAAAAAGTATTTATTTAAGCGTTTGTTTGAATATTTTTTATTATTTTTTATTCTTTCTTTGAATTTTCTACCCAATAATTTCCCCAATGGTTCTTTATGCATTTCTGCCTCATTAAGCAAATGAGGGAGGGCGGTGTCTCAATGGGTCAACTTCTCACCTATTGGTTGACCAGTCAGACGGCATAGGTCAATAAGCCTTGCCACTTACAGTTGCAGATGGCTTCCTTCAGTGAGGTGATCAGTGAACTGAAGCGTTTTGCAACTGTATTTGAAGACTGCCAGTACTACCAGCCACTAGCGCCCTGGCTGTCTCGAGAGTCGGAAGATTTCCCGGGGGCCCGAGGGCCATTTTGGCCTGCCATTAATTGTCAACTTGACCAGTGGCAGCGATAATATGGCAAGCTGTTTTATAATCTTGCAAACACGACCGTGAAAGTGCCATCAATACAAGATAACTGTAAGGAGATAGAAGAAGCAGAGCACAGGAAGTGCATGTTAGAGGTTAGGAGTTAGAGGTGTTATAAGAGGAATTGTTCTTGAAAGAGATGATTTTTCAAGAGCTTCTTGAAGTTAGAGAGGGACGCCCCTGCTCTGATGACATGTGGTAGCTCGTTCCACCATCGTGGTGTCACAGATGAGAATAGCCGGGACTGTTAGAAGTGTAGCCTAGGCTTATTTTTTGTGTCAAGCCTTCTACATTTGTATGTGCTATGACTAGTGTAGCTAGCCTAGGCTGTTTCTCTGGAGTTTTTGATGGTGCGCCCATAGCCATAGCCTGGCTGCAAGGATGCACGAGCATTCAGGGGGTAGCCGGTCAGAAGACTGTAGTCAACCACTGTAATGAAAGTAAATTACACATTGTTTGTAAAGTCTTGTTGACTCAATAATAAAGTGCCATTTCAGTGTTGGATCTGTCTGTTTGTGGTTCATTTGCATATTAATTTAACATGCGTGACTGCTCTGCAGGTCAGCGGCACCAGACCTTATGTGGTCATGTCAGCATTAAAAAAGCTAAAGAAAGGCAACAGGCGTGTGCTTCATTTCTAAGTGAGGTTAGAGCCCAATGACAAAAAGGAAGTAAAAAAATTTTTATTAATAAGGGATTTCATTGAATAACTAAATGTAGCTCTTTTAATAGGATGTTTATTTATTTATTGAGCATTTTTAAATTTCTGTATTCATTTTCAATTGTGTCAGGATACATCCTCAATAAACATCAAGCAAGTGCAACAACACAAGACATAGCAATCCAGTCTCTTGCTTGGTCACTTCTTTCTTCCTCTGACGTCTTCTTCAGCCTCTTCGCAACCTCTGCCATGATATCCAAACTGAAAATACTCAGCTAGCTTCTTCTTAAGAACTTACATTGTAAATTCTATACTTTTTGCATCTTCCAATAGCTTCGTGTTTTAGAGTTGTGTTGCTGTGTGACACGGTGCTGTAAAGCATTACTCTGCAACAATGATTGATTTCCTGTCTGGAAATTCCAGTGTTACATAACGCAGTAGCGGGTGCTGCGGCCCTGGAGTGGTAATAACAGAGACGCCATTCTCCCTGTTTCAAGTCAGTGTACCAAAATGATTTTGAAGCTGTTATTTTAAGATAAAAATACTGCATAACCAGCCCTTAACCAGTGAGATGTAACGTAAAGAAAACAGTTTCATTTATTTTTAAAGGCACTCCATGTTCTGCCAATAGGGCTGTCAGATCAGTCATATAGGTTGTTTTGGAAGGCAGTAGCAAATTACCTATTTTGTTGTTGAGGACATGTATTGTTGCCTGCAGTGTGGGCTGGATTGAAAACTTTTTAATCTCTTGATTGCTTTGGAAATAATGTGAGGCAGTCCACTCATCCTGTCCTTCAGTGCTGAGGTTGTTTTTTTCAATTGACACATTGTAAATGTGAACATTATGTGGAGTGTTCTGTAAAAATAGGTGTCCTCAGATGAAGAGGCAGTAATTGTACATCAGTATATGAGCCTGTTGCTCAGCACTCTTTGAGAGGGACAAGTGAGTGCAGAATAGATCAAAATCCTTTGGTAATGGAGTCCTAAAGGAAACTTGAACATACAGGCATTTCTTTGTTAACTGGGTGCTAATTGGTGTCTTGTATACATCTTTACCTTTGTGAGACTCTTAAAAGAAACTTAAGAGTTGGTGCTTATGCTCAATAAATAAAGTGTGCTCCAGTTGGGAAGTGCTCAGAATGTCAAGTGGCTCTGAAAAGGGCATCAAAGTGGTACAGTACATCATTAATCATTATCATCACAATTATTAATGTGCACATTTGTATGTCAGAATCATTCAAATCTTAGATGAAATGATATACTCAGTTTGGTTTAACGCTTTGCTAATGAGACTGCAGTAATTCATATTTTTCTAGAAATATATATTTTGGTTTTATGGCATGCAGCTTAACAGAGGAAAAATAAACTCACTGTACACTACCTGCTCAGCACCAAACAGCAGACAGGCAGAGTTGGAGCCTGACAGAATGGAGCGT